TTCCTGGTGTAGGGGTACCTCCTCCCCCTCCTCCCCCTCCTCCTCCCCTTCCTGGAGTTGGGGTTCCTCCACCTCCTGCATTGCCAGGTATGGGTATTCTACCTATTCCTGCTCCCCCTCTGCCTCCTCCTGGGGCAGGAATTCCCCCACCTCCACCACCTCCTTTCCTCCCTGGATCAAATCCTCCACTCTCCCCACAAGTTGGGACCAGCACTTTACCAACGCCACAAGTTTGTGGATTTCTTCCTCCTCCATTGCCAAGTGGGTTGTTTGGACTAGGGATGAATCAGGACAGAGGGAGTAGGAAGCAGCCAATAGAGCCCTGTCGGCCAATGAAGCCTCTTTATTGGACAAGAATTCAACTTCATAGTAAAAGGTAACATGAAAGCAAGCTCATCTTTGCAGTTTGTCAGTATGAGGAGAGCAATGTATTTTATGGCTTTTGGAAAAATTACAGTTCAATGTATTTTTTATGTATAACCCTAAAACTTTTGTGTAGATTTTTACAGCAATGTTTACCGAAGCAACTTGTTTAAAATTCAAGCTTTTCTCAGACAATATCAAGGAGATAAAACAAATAATTTATAAATGTCACAAAATAGATATCTAAAGTATATGCTATTTTAACTATACAGAATATATCATTACATGTATCAGCATGTGAGATGTACAGACATCGCACTATGGTTACTGGCATGTCTGTGAGGACAGAAGGATCTACTTTTCTTTGCATACATGCTGTTTCCTGCTTGCAGGACTTGATTGCTGCTCATGCCCGAATCCATCTGAAATGTTGCTTATATGCAAAACGAGGAAAGGTTGATAAGCGAGACACTTTTAACCCAACTGTTTGCCATACAAGAATCTATGTTTTGCTTTCACTATTTAAATTTTCACTTCTTACAACAGTGTAAAAATGTAAATCAGATCCTTTTTTCACACGGACTCCTGAGGATGGTGCCGGCATCCTCTAAAGGCACAAACTTGCTTTATTTTTTCCAGTTCATAGGAGTCATTTTTCACAAACGTTATATAAAAATATATCCACATGCCATGTGTGAAATAGTTTAATTTTGAAAATTTGGTGTCCCATGTATATTTGGGTTATACTGTGAAGTCATAAAGTCCGAGTTGGGAGCGTGATGATCATTAGGTTCACTGTGGGCACACGACTCCTCCAGACCTAGTCCTTGCCCTGTTCCCTGGTCACCGGGGCAGTGCTGGGAGACTTGGCTGGGGAGGGAAAACCCTGCATTTTTAAACTTCACTGGCCTTCTCCCTTCTAACTTACGATTGCCCGGATTGTCTTTGTAGGATGTGGTGCGCCTTTAGAATCAGGGTATTTACCAGGTTCATTTTCATCTTTGTGTGTGTGTGTGTTAGTTTTCTGTTCACTAAATCCTCTCAGGAGGCCGGAACCTGTATATCCTGACCACTTTTAACTATGCAGTGCGTTCTCCGTGTAGAAGTCATGGTGCTTACGTATGCTGCTGAGTTATTTAAAGTCGCGCCCCAAACTCATTTTCTCTAGATACATGTATAAAGTTGTTTTGCTTAAAAAATTATACTTACCCTTTCCAGGTGGTGCTAAATGCCAAATAACAGTGCTTGAGGGGAGATGGAGGGATGGAGGATGCCATCCTGAAAATATATATTTAATCCAGGAATAATCTGTCAGACAACCAGTCAAGATGAATTGTTATTGAGTCAATGATGTTTTGCCTTCAGAGTCCACTCTGAGAGGGATCTTCCTCTTATGTTTTCAGGGATTGAACTCCGGTCCTTGCGCTTGCAAGGCAGGCCACTGAACCGCTGAGCTAAATCCCCGGCCCTCCTCTTATGTTTTTATACAGTGTTAACTAAGAATTACTGGAAATTATTTTAAGGCAAACGTTGAATTGTAGTGGATGGTATTTTAACTTTCTCATCAAGTTGATAAAATATTCTTTGTATCTTTCTCTCCCCTTCTTCCTTGGCTGTTCATCCCTCCCTCCCTCCTTTCTCTTTATCCTCGCTGCAGTGTAGTTCTATTTGATGGCCTTTTCATTGTTTTTTTGCTTAACTTTAGAGACTCCAGTCCTTCACTTATTTGGGAAAAAATTGAAGAGCCATCCATAGATTGCCATGAATTTGAGGAATTATTTTCCAAAACTGCTGTAAAGGAGAGAAAGAAACCTATTTCTGACACCATCTCAAAGACGAAGGCCAAACAAGTGAGTATTCTTGTGCCTTCTGAGATTGGACAGGGGTTCTAGCAGAAGTGTGAACTTTAATTAGAGAAAAACTTCAAAAAGGTTATGCTCTGTGGACCTTATGCAGATTGCGAAGTTTAGCATCTTAGAACATGCAGTGAAGTAGGCTAGCCCAAATGCAGCAGCAAGTAATCTAATTTAAGTGATAATGTTCTAGCTCTTTTATTTGCAATGTTATAACACATATTTCCAAAAATCTCAGCTATTGCAGAAATAGTTGTGTAGAAATAAATGTTTTCTTGATTGAAATCTGAGTGCTAGTGTAGGTGGAAATAAACAGTGGGCAGAGAAAAATGAGAAATCTAATCCTTAGTAAGTGATAATGTGATTGATAATTTTGCTATTAGATATTAGGACTCAGCCAAACAGTCACACCGTCCTTAAAATATTGGGAGATCTTAGATCTACCTCTAACCTCTCCATTCCAGGTTAGATCCTTTGATCTAACTTGTGACATGAGTCAGAAAAAAGAGATAAGTGCCAGCTAATGGGGTCATGCCTTGAATTTTTGTCTCCATCCTGGAAGTTGTAGTGAGGAATGTGATCCAGAGTTGTTGCCACTGGTATTTGTTTCAGAGCAGAAAACCTTCTAACACCTGGATACTGCCAGATCCAGCCAGCAAAAAGATGTATTTGAATGGGAGAGCCAGACCACTGACTGGTTGTAGGGATAGGCTCACCCCAGGTATTTTATTATTCTCAGGGGGATGCAAACCCAAACATGATGTCACTGAATTTTTCAGAAGTTTTTATTGTATGACAACTGATTTATATGATATCCTTAGGTCAGTGACTATAGTGAACGAGACTGTACCTGGCACTTTGTAGACAATAAGTATGTGTTAAATTAACAAGGTAGCTGACTGAGGTGGAGGACTTTATAAATATCCATGACTATGTCCAGCGGTGATTAAAAGCCAGAACATTATTCAGGTCATAACGATAAGCTCAAGGTAAGTGGAGAATCACATTTTCTCTGGTGGAGATGAATAGTTTAAAACCCTTCTGTGGTGAATGTGCATATAGTTCTCTGAGACGATCGTCATCTCTCTCCTCATAGACGGTGGCAGAGACAAGAGAGCTGGTTGGGCAAGGAGACTGGAGGGAGTGCAGACATGGAGGAGGGCCAGACAGCAGGAATTGTCACTTGACAATGTGCAGATGTGGCATGGGACGTCTCTTGTCCAGGGACCCAATTTTCAGAAAGACGCACCACACGTTCTTCAACTTCCGCTTTTCATGCTAAGAGAAATCAGACAGAGAACGTGTCTCGCGTGGTGTCTGAGTATGGGATTTCATGCTGTTTGGCATAGTAGTCAGTTTTTAGCTTACTGAAGTATGCTTTATGTCTCATCAATTCGAATTCAAGTTGGCGTGAGATGGCCGCTTTGCATGTAATCAGCAGTCTGTATCGAGCATCAACTCAGCATTTTCCCTCTGTCATTAAGACATTTCGTACGCTGTAGGTAAGAAACTGCCAGTGTTGAAACGTGCGCTTATGGATGGTGACAGTGCTGTCGAGCTTCAGCTTCAAACACGGTTTCGGACCCCGTCTCCATCCTGACTCCCAGTGAGCTTGTTCAGCAGTTCCTCGGCTCGGGTCTTGGTTCTGAGCTCTGCATTTCGGGACTATTTCTGGAAGGATAAAAAAATGTTGTTTTTCCTGTATGGTAGAAAAGAAAAAGTGCTACAAAGTGACATATTACTGGAGACGCATAGTTTTACTTCGTTCTGTTGAGAAGGAAATCTGTCCCTTTTATTTCTTTGAGACGGTTTAGAATTTTGTTTAAGGAAAGCGTATTTTTCGGGGTGCATGCAAATAGTTCCTTGTGTTGTGGGGAATGTATACTTATTGTATGCGCAGACATTTTGGTACCTCATGATTCATTTCCAGTAAAATTAATAGCTCTTAATGCTGTTGGCATATGTTTATGGCGGTAGTTCAAGCGATTCTTCTTATATACAGTGGAAGCTGGAAGTTCTGCTTTTCTTTAAATATTTAAAAATAGCCAAATAATTTTTCTGTGAACTGTCTTCTGGAAAGCAAGACTGTGGTTGAATGCACTGGTATTTAACGAGGTGCCTGTGCTGTTTTTACTGTCATGGTAGAGACGTTTTCAGGATGATAATAGAAGAGTCTTCAGTTGGCCACATTGCCCTTTCCCAGAAGGAGAAAGTAGGGTTACTCTCTGGACATTCAGCCTAGTAGTAATGACGAATGCCTTGCATTTAAAATCCCCTTTCCTCCAAGGAACTAAAGACAAAAGTATTTGATATTTTTCTCTCTTGAAACATATATTTAAGTTTACTCTGTGATAATTTCTTCATCTGTCCCTTGTTTTGAAATCATACACATCAGGAGAAGATATATGGTAGTTAATTAGACTGTAATATGACACAGTTGTTCATAAGCAAACAAGTGTGACACTTACACCCATATTACATATTAACCTTCTAATCTAAACTAGCAACAACCCTATCTCTTGAGGAATAAAGAGGAAAATAGAAAAAGCAATCTTACATGATGCTTGTTTTTAAATATGCACACGCACACACACACAAACACACACTCTTACCCATTTTTAAGGAACACTATGGTAATGCCAGCAAACATTTAGTCTACCCTCTTCTTTATTATCAGCACAATCAGTGGTTGATAATGCGGATAATAACTTTAAATCACCTCAGGACCTTCTGTGACCAAATAAAGATTAAATTAAATATAGCCCAAGCTTAGGAGTAGGAAAGAGAGAATTTACTTTGGAATGATTTTAGTAATAAGGACTGTCTCTGAAAGAAGTTTCTGGTCAACCCTGTGTCCTGTGGGAAACATGGTAGGAGTAACTAATAGAAATTATGACAAGAACAATAACCATGGAAACCACAAGACACACTGTACCAGTTGTTCACCATGTGCCTGTTGTTGTTCTTAGTGTTTTATTTATGTTAACTCACTTAATCCTCACTCCTGTGAGATACACATCATCATTCTCGGTTCCCACTTTAGAGAGCTCAAGGGTTCTGTGGATTCCGTGATGTTTCCACACTGGGAAAGGACAGAGCAAGGGCTCAGACTCCAGCCATCTAGCCCCAGAACCTGTGTTCTTCCTAAATAAGTCATAAATGGGCATGTGAAGTATTCGGGTGAATATCATATTTATATCGAGACCAGAATATATAGTTTAAAAATGATTTGAATTTGTATTGCTTTTCATATATGCTCAATTTTTTAAATAACTGTAGTTATGCGTATAACATTTTATGTGGAGACATTTTGAAACATGTTTCCATATTCTAACAGATTTTGACAAGCACATAAACTATGATGCAACCTAACATGACATTTGCCCAGTTAAATAAAAGTTTATCTGAGGGAGGTGAGTTTTCTGTAAGCAGTAAAAATGAGGGCTATTGCTCGAGTGGCATATAAATAGTGGTTATTGTAGCAGACAGCCACTGTGGTTAACCTTCTCCAAATGTCAACCGATGATACTTTTTATTCACTCCATGACACAAAAGAACCAGTTCCATAAAATATTCTTTTAGTAAGTAATGTTTAACATACTTATAATGTCTGCAAAGGAACATGCTACTCATGATGTAAATTTGCACACAGAAATTAATAAGACTGAAAAAAAGAATCTGTGTCATTTTTAATATACATTACCAACACTTGTGCAACCATTTAATGCAATGCAAATGGATCTCATCCTGGGTCTTGTATTTATCAGATTAAAATACTCTGCCCAAAGAATTAGGGTAAGAACTATTTATTGTTGGGCTTCAGCCTCTGGAAATATGATTAGAAAAATAGCTCAATCTGCTATTTATTATAAATGGGGGGAGGGGGAGTAGGGAAGGGATTCTTGAGAATTCACATTTAATACAGATGTTAAATGTTAAGAAGTTGGACATGTAGTATCCTGTTTCATCTTTCCCTTGTACCTGATGACCTAGCCTCTAAAAACGTTTTTTCATGTTGTATAAATTCATAGTGATGACGAGAAAAGCGGCATTCATCGTTCGGCTGCTGTCGTACGTTATGCATAATGTAACAGCCCTAAACGTTCCTCCATGAAGCAGTCATTGCCACTAAAAGGCTTTCCTCCTGCTGTGCTGAGGAATTGGGGGGATGTGCGTGCCTGTCACTGGAATCCTGAGGGCTACAGGAAGGAAGACCGAGAGGCTCTATCTGTGCATCTCAGCTTCAGCTCCGTTGATTTATTGCAAGGATTCACTTTTAGAATTTTGGAAACGTGTCTTATAATCAGTGGAGATTTCAGCATTCACGAGGTGATAGGCTGAACCATAAGCTAAGTATTAAAAGCTAGAATTAGAATTTTGCATTGGTTTTAGCTTTTTTAGTTGCTCTGGGAAAGGTATTTTGGTTGACTTGCACAGTTGTATTTGTCTTTGAGACTGATGACCTACAATAATGCCTGCAACACCAAATATCTTATAAGAAATCAATTGAGTTTTTTTGGGGGGATGCATAGTAAGAATTTGGTACTTTTAAACTTTTAACATCTGCTTTTAATAGAGCACATTCCAATTGCAAGACTTAAAAATGTATTTACATAGAAAACCACATCAAAATACAAAGCTATAATTAGACAAACATAGGTCTTGTGGAATCTGGATTTGTTTTAGATGTTGAAAGATTTATTATTTTTTGAAGATGTTATTCCTATAACTATTTGTAGAGCATACCCAATCAATTCAAAGAATAGAATTGTAATAACCTCTATTTTTTATGGTATTTCAGACAAAAATTTTTATACTTCTAAGTAAATGGCTTTTTAAAAAGTCAACAGCCTAATAAGGAAATGTAATTAAGCTAATGATCCTTGACCTTGGAAGATTTTGTATTAGGGAAATTATATTTGATTAATTGTAGTTAGAATTGTATAAAACTTAATCATAATGCCAAAGATTAATTCTTTTAGACTTTATGTTCATAT